ACCTGGCAAAAACACAATGAAAATAGAAAACCACAGGCCAATAAGCCTGATGAACATATATGCAAAAATCCTCAACAAAATTCCAACACATCAAATCCAGCAGCAAATCAAAAAGTTAATTCACCATGAGCAAGCGGCTTTATTCCTGGGATGCAAGGTTGGTTCAACATATGCAGATCAATAAGCATGATTCACTACATAAACAGAAATAAAAACAAAAACCATATGATCATCTCAATAAACATGGAAAAAGCCTTTGATAAAATCCAATATCCTTCTTGATAAAAAACCCTCAACAAACTAGGCATAGAAGGAACAGAGCTCAAAGTAAGAGTCATCTATGACAAACCCATAGCCAACATCATACTGAATGGGCAAAAGCTGGAAGCATTCCCCTTAAGAACAGGAACAAGACAAAGATGCCCACACTCATCATTCCCATTCAAAGAAGTACTGGAAGTCCTAGCCAGAGAAATCAGGAGAAGAGAAAGAAATGAACGGCATCCAAATAGGAAAACAGGAAATCAAATTATCTCTCTTTGCTAATGATATGATTCTGCAAATAGAAAACCCTAAAGACTTCACCAGAAGACTCCTAGACCTGATAAACCTCTGTAAGGTTTTGGATACAAAATCAACATAGAAAAATCAGTGCCATTTCTATATAACAATAACATTCAAGCTGAGAGCCAAGTCAAGAACATAATCCCACTTACAATATCCATACACAAAATAAAATACGTAGGAATATATCTAACCAAGGAAGTGAATGAACTACAAAATACTGCTGAAAGAAATCACGTATGACACAAACAAATGGAAAAACTTCCACGTGCATGGACTGGAAGAATCAATATCATTAAAATGTCCATACTGCCCAAAGCAATCTATATATCAACTCTGTATATATCAAACTACCAAGGTCATTTTTCATAGAAATACAACAAAAACCATTCTAAAATTCATATGGAACCAAAAAAGAGCCCAGATAACCAAAGCAATCCTAAGCATAAAGAACAAAGCTCGAGGGATCACCATTACTTAACTTCAAACTATACTACAAGTCTTCAGTAACCAAAACAACATGGTACTAGTACAGAAACAGATGCAGAGACCAATGGAACAAAATAGAGGACACTGAAATAAAGCCACACACCTACAGGCATCTGATCTTTGACAGTCAAGAAAAGAAACTGGGAAAGGATTCCCTATCCAATAAATGGTGCTGGAATAGCTTGCTAGCCATATGTGGAAGAATGAAATTAGATCCCTACCTTTCACCATATACAAAAATTAACTTAAGATTGATTAGATAATTAAATGTATGACCTCATACTATATAAGAATCCTAGAAGAAAACCTAGGAAATGTCCTTCTGGACATTGGCCTTGATAAAAAATTTATGATTAAGTCCTCAAAAATAAATGCAGCAATAACAAAAATTGACAAGTGCGGCCTAATTAAACCAAAGAGCTTCTGCACAGAAAAAAAAAAAAAAAAAAAAAAAAAAAACTATGAACAAAGTAAACAGACAGCCTACAGAATGGGAGAAAATATTTGCAAACTATGCTATGCATTTAACAATGGACTAATAAGCAGAATCTATGAAGAACTTAAAATCAACAAGATAAAAACAAGTCCATTAAAAAGCATGCAAATGACATGAACAATCATTTCTCAAAAGCAGACATACAAGCAGTCAACAAACGTGAAAAAATGCTCAATGTCACTAATCAAAGAGATGCAGATCAAAACCACAATGAGATAGCATCTCACACCAGTCAGAATGGCTCTTGTTAAAAAGTCAGAAAATAACACATGCTGTGAGATTGTGCAGAAAAGGGAATGCTTATACACTGCTGGTGGGAATGCAAATTAATTCAACCACTGTGGAAAACAGTCAGGAGATTTCTTAAAAACTGAGAACTATCATTCAACCCATGGATCCCATTTATGGGTATATACCCAAAGGAAAATAAATTGTTTTGCCAAAAAGACACATGCACTTGTATGTTCATCACAGCACTACTTACAATAGCAAAGACATGGAATCAACCTAGGAACTCATCAATGATGGATTGAATAAAGAAAATGTAGTATATATACACCATGGAAAACTATACAGCCATAAAAAAGACTGAAATCACACCTTTTGCAGCAACATAGTTGTAGCTGGAAGACATTACTGTAAGTGAATTAACTCAGGAATAGAAAACCAAATACCACATATTCTCATATGTAAGTGGGAGTAAAGCATTAGGTACACAGGGACATAAAGAGAGGAATAATAAACACTGGGGACTAATAGAAGGGCAAGGAGCAAGGGTTGAAAAACTACTTCTTGTGTACTGTTGCTTACCACCTGGGTGATGGGGATCATTCATACCCCAAATCTTAGCATCATGCAATATACCCATGTAACAAACCTGCACATATGCTCCCTGAATCTAAAATAAAAGCTGAAATTATTACAGAAAAAAGCTTCTAAAAAAATTCACCAAGAGTAGTTTCTCCTTTAGAGATAATTTGGGAGGACCAAATAAGGTAATGTTTATTACAGTACTTAACATAGGACACTATATTAATATAAACTTTAAAAATTAAACTTTTAAAGATAATTGTATATTAATATGCAGTTGTAAGAAATAATGGAGAGGTCCCATGTCTCTTTTACCCAGTTTCCTCCAATGATAGTATTTCACAAAAATTTAATACAATGTTACAACCAAAATGTTGACATCAATACAGTCAAGATTAATGGTAAAATTTTTAAGTTGTAGGAAGTGTTACATATGCCATATATAAATAACTGGACATAAAGTACTATTACATGTTCAAATGTATCCTTTCTAGAATGCTTGACATTTAGGCATTAGGTCAAAATAATCTAGATATCAAAACTAGGCAGAGATACTGAAGTAAAACCATTTACAGACTGATCCCTCATGAATGTAAATGCCAACATTTAAAAATAGTAAATGAAATCCAGGAATATGTAAAAATACATCATCACAATTAAGAAGTATTTATTCTGGAATGTAAGGTTAGTTTGCCATTTGAAAATCAATGCAATTCACTATATTAATAGAACAAAGGAGAAAGATCATAATAATCTTGATAAGCACAGGAAAAGTATTTGATAAAATTCAATACCTATTCATGATAGAAACTCTTAGCAAACTAGTTTATTGAAGGGAACTTTATTAATATGTATGAAAGTTTTATTAAAAACCTGGGGAAAACTTTATGCTAACTGGTGAATTATTGAAAGCTTTCCCTAAGAATCAAGAAACAGAAAATAATGCCGGTCACAACTTCTACTTATCTTTATACTAGAGCTTCTAGTCAGTACAGTAATAAGGAAAGAGAAGTAAAAGGCATAAGAACTAGAAAGGAAGGAATTAAAATGTCCTTATTTGCTGATATGGTTTAGATGTTTGTCCCCTCCAACTCATATTGAAATGTAATCCCCATGTTGGAGGTGGGGCCTCGTGGGAGGTGTTTGGGTCATGGAGGCAGATCCCTCTTACATGGCTTGGTGCCCTCCCCACGGTAAGAAGTGAGTTCTTGCTCTGTTAGTTCACATGAGAGCTAGTTGTTTAAAGGAGCCTGGGTCCTCCTCTTCTCTCTCTCTTTCTCCCTCTCTCACCATGTGATATGGCATCTCCCCTCTTCTCTCTCTTTCTCCCTCTCTCACCATGTGATATGGCATCTCCCCTCTTCTCTCTCTCTTTCTCCCTCTCTCACCATGTGATATGGCATCTCCCCCTTTACCTTCTGCCATGATTTGAAGCTTCCTGAGGCCTCACCAGGTGCAGATGCCAGCACCATACTTCTCACATAGCCTGAAGAACCTTGGGCCAAAATAAACCTTTTTTCTTTATAAATTACTCAGTCTTAGGAATTCCTTTATAGCAATGCAAAGAGACTAACATATTTCCAGATGACATGATTGGGATGCAGAAAATTCAAAAGAATTTACAAACTGTTGGCATTAATAAGTGAATTTAGCACTTATTGCTGGATATAAGGTCGATATATATAATAGTCAATCATATATATACCAGAAATAAAACAGAAAATGAAATTTTAAAATAAGATTACCACATACAAAGGAGAAAAAGAAATACTTAAATCTAAAGGAAGATGTAGAAGAGCACTACTATGAAAACTACAAAACATTTTTCATAAGAAATAGAGAAGACCTAAATAAATGGAGGGATAGATCGTATTAATGGATTGGAAAACAATATTATAAAGAAATACATTCAGCCTAAATGTATCTATGAGTTAAATGAGATTCTAACTAGAATTTCAGCCCCCACTGTTTTTTTTTTTTTCCTTGAGTCAGGGTATAAGCTGATTTTGCAATTTATATGGAAAGATAGACAAGTCCATCTTAAAGAACAAAGCTGGGCAATTTGCACTACTAAATAATAATATTGACAGCCAGAGTTGCTTAAAGCAGTGAGATATCTGTGCAAGTATAGACAAACAGTAATAAAATAGAACATGGTCCAGAAACAGCCTATATATTATACTGTCACATATACAAAATTACAATACCTTTTCCACCAGAATGGCTAAAATGAAAAAGAGAGACAATATCAAGCATCATTGAGGATGGCCAAAACTGGAACTCCTACGTACTGCTGGTGAGAAGGGAAATTGTTAACAACTACTTTGGAAAACTGGAAGTAACTACTAAGGCTGCATATCCTATGTCACAGGAATTCCACTTCTAAGCACAGTCGAACAGATCTGCGTACCTATGTCCATTAAAAGACATACACAAGAATGTTCATAGCAGCACTATTCACATTAGTCCCGAACTTGAAACAACCCAAATATCCATCTAAAGCAGAATAAATTGAAGTACATTCATGCATTGGAATATTGTTATACAGCAATAAAAGCGGAAGAGTTATAACTGTATGCAACAATATGAAATATTCTCAGATTCGTAATGTTGAATAAAAGGAGCCAAATACAAAAGAATATAGGTTTGAATCCATTTATTTTAAGTTTGAAAAAAGGCAAAACTAGTCTATAACGTTACAAATCTGGACAGTTGGGCTGAGATTATAGCATCTTGAAGTGGGTATAGGAAGGCTTCTGGGGTCCTGGTAACATATGTTACTTGGTCGAGATACTCTTTACAAGGATGTGTTCCCTTTGTGAAATTCATTGAGTCACATGCTTATGTTTTGTGCACTTTTCTGTATGCATGTTAGACTTAAATAAAAAGTTTAAAAAATTACCAAATTGTTCAGATTATCATCATCCAGCTTTTCCTTTGGCAACTCTTGCTTTTAACTATGGTGACAGTATTTATGTCTGATGCTTTTTTACAGACTCTCCCATGTAAATGGAACTACTCTTTCGCTGTCTTACATAATTTGGCTCCTTGCTTGCATCAAAGAACCACTTTGAAAGCCAAAAATTTAATAACTTTCAGCTTTGGGATAAGTTTAAGAGAATAATTGAATTAAATTGAGGGAATTTGAGAGAAAATTAGCTTTCCCCAGCATGATGTGGGCTGCAAAAAAGAACTAGGCAGAGACCATGATGAGGAAACCAGAAATTCTTTGCTAATTCCATTTGGAATTCTGAGTGAGAATCACCCAGTTTTCTGCAGCAAAACTGAGTAGAACATTCATGTAATAGGGCAACGTCTTGAAAGTTACTGATGTTATTTAATAGTATCTTTGTCAAAACATAGTAATCTAGGTCAAAGTCTGAGGCCTGAGACAAGACTGAGAAAAGAGAAGTCACAGGGTATCATTGAAAATATATTTGCTAGAAATGACGCAGGGCTCAAAGTGGGTACACTAAGCTTTCTGGCTAGGAATTACCCGCTGGCCACAGTAACCTCATCAGAGAATATACAGGAAATGAGATGCATTTTGGTGAATCAGGGAGTTTCTTTGTTTTGCTGAAATTTTGTGATAATCTCTTCACATTCTCTTTCACTGTTACTATTTTTAGATAGCTTTAAAATGCAAAGATGGCCTTCATGGTATCTGATATCCTGGAAGAAAAGGCAGGGTACAGGACAGCTAAGGAAACATCCCAGAAAACTGGCTATGAGTTAACTTCCTACTGTGTTTTCCTAAATGGCTAGAGGGATGGGGATGGAGGATATTTCCCCATCATATAACATCATCATTTCTATAAACATGGTATGCTTTCATCATTTAGTTAGAAGTGACTTCTCATAGCAAATATAAATTGTACTTCACAGAGTTGTGGTGAAAATTAGTTATCTGTAACTTAGCATTCAATAAATATTAGGTGCTATTAGTAGTAGTAGTACACACATTAATATCCCTCCCTAGCAAGTAACAAGATATAGTGATAGGTCAATTACAGTTATTCTTATCCAATACTGCATTAATAGTGAGTATTCCTTATCCATTAGAAATGGAGATATGAAAGTGGTCTAATCAATTTGGAACTCTTTCAGGATGGGGGAAGGAGAATGGAATTATCTTGCTAGTACCTGTTGGCCCTGGTATTCAGGTTTAGAGCTACCCTGCTGGAATGGCTTTGAGTCCTTCAGTATCACCTTGAAGATTAGATCTATGTGGTGGTGTCAGAAAGAAGCTGACAATTGGTCCCTTTGGCTGCAAACAGCATTACAAAAACAAAGCACAAGATCTGTCAATGGAGAGGCTTGTATAAGATTTTTCAAGCACTTACAAAGTGGAAATCTTTTTAAAACTTGTTTCAGAGGAGTTCCACAGAAGAATGAATTCTAGTACAATCCTGAGGGTTCTTTGCCTAATTTAAGAATAATAAATACTCAGTAAGAAAAGGAATTGGATTTCTAAGTATCAATATTGCTCAATTTAGAGGCATTAGATAAACTGAGGTGAAAAAAAGATGTTAGTGTTAATATTACAATACTTTTTATAAACTTTCATTTTTTATGTTATAAAATTTAAAGGAACTTTTAAATTCATTCTAAGGCTTCTGATCTGTCTTCTTTAGAATACTACAGTTTAAAATGATTCTAGCAGCTTCTAAAGAAAAACAGATCACCTATCAAACCCAAACTCCCATATGAAATACTTTGCCCCATATAGGAGAGAATTCTTTTGAGAAATGACATGTCTGTGTATAAAGGATTATATAAATTTCTGTGTTGGTTAATTTTAATAACAACAGTATGATAATACTCACAAAATCTTATGAAAAGAATATCCTTTTGACTTTTTGCTAAATGATGACAATAGTAATCACTGATTAGAAATTTTCACATAAACACAATTCCAACTTGTATATCAATACTGTGCTGTTTGTCAAGGCTTAATTCTTCTTTTTATAAGGCACTGTCTTTACAAACAAAGTAATTCAAATTAACCAACCATGTCCTCCAAACATAAATAGAAATGATACTAACTATTGATTAAAATAAAAAGCACTTAAAAATAGCATTAATTCTTACCAACTCCAGAGGTTATTGATTCTGCATCAATGTCACTAGCTCTTTTTCTTGCCACTTCAGCTAGTGCCAATTCACCTTTATCTAGTGCAAGGTAATGAATATCCTGAGGAAATAAAGCAAAATAAAAGATTGATTCAAAATGAATCTTGCTCAAATTACAAAGAGGATTTTGAAAGAAACTTATTGTTCAGATTACAAAATAGAAAGTTTGTAAATATTCTTTTCTGTATTTTAAGTTTCTTAGTTTTCTAGTATAAGCAAATTTTTCTGAATTGGAGATCACAGCTATAACTAAAGGCAAGTATTTAAATAAATTATTTTAAGCTGTGAGGGAAAATACAAGTTTTTAATAAAGTCTTTGACATACTCAGTTTTGTCAGGGAATAAAAAATGTTAATTGCTATTTTTCTTTTGTAAGACATTAATATCTGAGGGTGTGTCTTCAGATTTTAATTGCATATTATGCTAAGCACGATACAAGGGATACTAAACAGATTCGTTGCTGTGTCTGGCATATATTTGTTATTATTAATATTACTAGTATTATGAAATAAAATAATTAGTACCAACTAAGTGCTGGGCACTGTTTTGGAGTATGGCGATCAATTATAATACCGTATCTCAAAAACCTGTATGCCCAGTGGGGAGAGAGACCACTGTAAACCAATAGTTAATTACAAAAAAAGTATGATAGATTTTATAGCACATGTATGCAGGATGCTGTGGAACCAAAGAGGAGGAACTGATCTCTGATGGTAGTCTTGAAGGGTGAATAAGAGTTACTATAAGAGGGGGAAAATGGAGAAAAGGTGACAGGGAATGAATGATGTCTGGTGCACATATGCAGAGAAGCCTGAGAAAACACAACTCTCAGACAATGGCAGATCTTTCGATATGGAAGGAGTGTTGGATGTGTAGGAGAAAGCAGTGAAAAGTAATACTGAAGAAGTGGAGTCACTAAAAAGGTTTTAGATCTCTTTTTGCTATGCAGAATGATTGTTGGAATGAAAATTTCATTGAAATAAAAATGGGGAAAGAATATGAACAACCACTTACAGTGAAGAAATAGATATAAATGGCTTATAATCATTAAAAGATATGTGACCTTATGTAAATAAATGCAAGCTGAAAAATGTAATTTCAAATTGGATAAATCTTTAAAAGTAAATAATAATTACAGGTTGCAAAGTTTTGGGAAAACAGGCATGTAACACTTACTGGGAATATAATTGGTTAAGACTTTATTTATTTTTTGAGACAGAGCCTCACTCTGTTGCCAGGCTGGAGTGCAGTGGCATGATCTCGGCTCACTGAAACCTCTGCCTTCCCAGTTCAAGTGATTCTCTTGCCTCTGTCTCTTGAGTAACCGGGATTACAGGCATGCACCACCATGCCTGGCTAGCTTTTGTATTTTTTTTTTTTTTTTTTTTTGAGGCGGAGTCTTCACTCTGTCGCCCAGGCTGGAGTGCAGTGGCACCATCTCGGCTCACTGCAAGCTCCGCCTCCCGGGTTCGCGCCATTCTCCTGCCTCAGCCTCCCGAGTAGCTGGGACTACAGGCGCCCGCCACCGCGCCCGGCTAATTTTTTTTTTTTTGTATTTTAGTAGAGACGGGGTTTCACCGTGTTAGCCAGGATGGTCTCGATCTCCTGACCTTGTGATCCGCCCGCCTCGGCCTCCCAAAGTGCAGGGATTACAGGCGTGAGCCACCGCGCCCGGCCAGCTTTTGTATTTTTAGTAGAGACGGGGTTTCACCATGTTGATCAGGCTGGTCTTGAACTCCTGACCTTGTGATCTGCCCGCCTCGGCCTCCGAAAGTGCTGGGATTACAGGTATGAGCCACTGCACTAGCCAAGGGTCAGTAAGCTATGGCCCATGGGCCAAATCTAGCCTGCTTTTGATACAGTCCTCAAATTAAGAATGGTTTTTACATTTTTAACGGTTGGAAGAACTGTGCTCAATCACTGCTATTGAACACTGAGTGGCTTTGAAATTAGCTTTTGCTGCAAATTTGAAACGGTTTCAAGCTAAAGTTACAAAGTAAAACAGTGCTTATATGTGAAACTTATATGTGAAACATAATGTGATAAAGTCATTTCAATGAGAACATTGTTTGAATTGCAAGTAATGTCAGGCTGCATCACATACTTCCTGCACTGTCAAAAGGTTTTTTTTTTTTTTTTTTTTTTAAATAATCTCCATTCCTACACAAATTTTCAGCAATATATTTTCTGATTTCAAATTACAGCAGTGTTTTTCAGACCTTGATGCAAGTGCAAAGGAAATTTACATATTCCAAAATCCATTTAACTGTGCAATTGAGGAACTTTAATTGGAAGTGATTTGCAATGTAATGACATGCTAAAAGGCATTCTAGCCTTTTAGCTAATAGAATTCTAAAAATGCCTGCCAGTCTGTTGAATATACTCAATTAAAAGCATATACTCATGGATTGATATCAGTATTTGGCAGTACTTATATATGTGGAAAGACATTTTCAAAGGTGAAATATGTAAAATCTCATTGTAGATAAGCATTAACAGATGAACGTTAGCTAAAGATTTTGATAGGAAACACCAGCTTTCAAACCCAATTAAGTGAAATGTTACCTCCTCTGAAAAGGATTCCATTCTTCACATATGTAGAGCTATATCACAAAAATTGTACTCTTTTAATTTCATCAATAAAGATTTATGGAAATTTTCTGTCTTGTTATATAAGTACCTACATAATAACTTCAGTTTTGCCTCTTGGCTCACAAATCTCTAATATTTGCTATCTGGCCCTTTGTAAAAAGTTTGCTGGACCTGTATTTTAACAATATATCATAATTTAAAATAAACTTTTGGTAAATCTTCCTAAGGAAATGATGGGACAGTATCCAAGATTGGTAATTAAAGCACTGTTTATAACAGTGAAAAACTGGAGGCAACTTAAATGTACAATCAAAATAATATGTGGTTTTTAATTTTTAATCCAAGAATAGCATGATACTTTAATAATAGATTCTTATATTCAGAGAAGAATTTGGTAAGTTGAAAATATATACTTTTTTCAACTTTGCAAATATTTAAGATTTTTACACCTATGCTCTTAAGAATAGTCTGTGACTTTGTTTACTTGAACTGCCCTTGGCTGGTATCAAGATTACACTGGTCTTATAAAATGAGCTAGGTGGCTTTCCCTGTTTTCTGTTCTTTGATAAAATTTGTATTTATTATTGAAAGCAAAAAATATGCAGTACATTTGAGAATATATTACCAACCATTACTAAAGAACATAAATGAACATCTGATTAAAATACAGACATACACATGCTTATATCTAGGAAGACCATACATTTATAAAAATTTCAATTCTGACCCCATATATTCTGTAAAACTCAGTGGAGTTCTAATCAAAATCCCCTCAACTTGATAAATTGATCTTAAAATTAATATGTCAAAACAAATGGTGAAGAATATCTAAAACTTATTCTAGTTAATTTTAAAACTATAGAACACTGATATATAGCCATATAAACAAACAAACAAAAAAACATACCCATATATAGATGGTTCTATTTGTGGTACCATTATGAGTACTTTATGTTTAGAAGTAAGTGTGGGCTATAAGATCTGTGGTCAAATTATTTCTGGAATGTTTTCTGTCTCTCATTTTTGCATTCTTCCTTAATTCTCTGATTTCTCCCCTGTATTTAAAAAAATAGTTCTAGGGAATTGGGGTCATCGATTTGAAGAGGGAAAATTAAAACATAAAAATAAAAGAGATCGTGCTTTACTTTGCCCAGGCTAGATTCAAACTCCTGGGCTCAAGTGAACCTTCTGCTTCAGTCTCCTGAGTAGGTGGGACTAGAGGTGCTAGCTAAGAGGGCAAACATTAATAGTTCTTAAATTGATATTATATCTCCCCCATGAAAGTTTTAATTTCATAATCTGTTTGGAAACATGCTATGCAGTCCATTTATTTGCTGATTCACCTGTGGACCTCCTCATTATTCATATATTTGAATGTGGACTTAAGCAAAATGCATTCAAGAGTATATCTCCATAATTCCATGCCCCTCAGTCTGACAGAGTTAATTAAGCTTTAGGATCTGGTGAAAGACATATCTAGTATCTATATCACCTCTCAAGTGGCTATCTTCTGACTTTGTTTAATAATTTTTGATAGATTTAGCCTAGGAATTTAGTTTAAATGTTGGATTTACACAATTAAATGCTATAGTGTGAATGTCCCACCAAAACACATGTTGAAACTTAATTGCCAGTGCACTGGCATTGGAAGGTGGGGCCCTTAAGAGAGGATTAGGTCATGAAGGCTCTGCCATCATGAATAGATTAATGCTGTTATCACAGGAGTGGGTTAGTTATCAAAAGAATGGGTTTGTTGTAAAAGTGAGTTTGGCCCAATTTCCTTTCTCTGTCTCATGTGTTTACTCTGCCTTCCACCCTTACCGTGGGATCACTCTTACCAGATCCCAGCACCAAGCTCTTGGACTTCCCAGCCTCTAGAGCTCTTAACTGAATAAATCCGTTTTCTTTATAAGTTACCCAGTCTGTGGTATGCTGTTGTAGCAGCAGAAAACGGATTAAGACAACAAATATCTGGGAAATGGTCATAGTCTAAATGAATCAAGAAAATAAAACCCATTTGGCTGTATATTTCATTTTTATGTCCTTTACCTGGGTAGGCTAGCACATACAGGAATAATGGACATGGAGTAAGCTCATTGAGACTAATGCTAAGGTACTGTTAAGTCTAAATATACTGAAGAAATTGCAAGCAAGTGGCCCACAAGCAGGGTAGTCATACTCATTGTAACATTAGTTTTAATGAACAGATATTAGCTAATCAAGAATCATTCCGCAAATAACTATGCAACGTTTACTGTGTGCCAGATACAGAGATGAATTTTCCATGAAGCTAATGAAGCTTAAGCTTCATTACCTCTTACTTGTAGAAGTCCTTTGTGGTATCTAATTTTGTATCTGAAAATTTAAATTCTTTTTCTTAAAAAAAAATTCCTCAAATTATATCAGCTTCAGGCCCTGTAAAAGATGGATGTACCCCTGGCTAGATGCCTAGCTATCATGGTTCTAACA